TCACAGACCTCAGAGACCTCACAGACCTCACAGACCTCAGAGACCTCACAGACCTCACAGACCTCACAGACCTCACAGACCTCAGAGACCTCAGAGACCTCACAGACCTCAGAGACCTCAGAGACCTCACAGACCTCACAGACCTCACAGACCTCACAGACCTCACAGACCTCACAGACCTCACAGACCTCAGAGACCTCAGAGACCTCACAGACCTCACAGACCTCACAGACCTCACAGACCTCACAGACCTCACAGACCTCACAGACCTCAGAGACCTCACAGACCTCACAGACCTCACAGACCTCACAGACCTCACAGACCTCAGAGACCTCAGAGACCTCACAGACCTCACAGACCTCACAGACCTCACAGACCTCACAGACCTCACAGACCTCACAGACCTCTCAGACCTCAGAGACCTCACAGACCTCACAGACCTCAGAGACCTCACAGACCTCACACAGACCTCACAGACCTCACAGACCTCACAGACCTCAGAGACCTCTCAGACCTCAGAGACCTCACAGACCTCACAGACCTCAGAGACCTCACAGACCTCACACAGACCTCACAGACCTCAGAGACCTCACAGACCTCAGAGACCTCACAGACCTCACAGACCTCACAGACCTCACAGACCTCACAGACCTCACAGACCTCAGAGACCTCACAGACCTCACAGACCTCACAGACCTCACAGACCTCACAGACCTCACAGACCTCACAGACCTCAGAGACCTCACAGACCTCAGAGACCTCACAGACCTCACAGACCTCACAGACCTCACAGACCTCACAGACCTCACAGACCTCACAGACCTCAGAGACCTCACAGACCTCACAGACCTCACAGACCTCACAGACCTCACAGACCTCACAGACCTCACAGACCTCAGAGACCTCACAGACCTCACAGACCTCTCAGACCTCACAGACCTCACAGACCTCACAGACCTCACAGACCTCAGAGACCTCACAGACCTCACAGACCTCACAGACCTCACAGACCTCAGAGACCTCACAGACCTCACACAGACCTCACAGACCTCACAGACCTCACAGGACCTCAGAGACCTCACAGACCTCACAGACCTCACAGACCTCACAGACCTCAAAGACCTCACAGACCTCACAGACCTCTCAGACCTCACAGACCTCTCAGACCTCACACAGACCTCAGAGACCTCACAGACCTCAGAGACCTCACAGACCTCACAGACCTCACAGACCTCAGAGACCTCACAGACCTCACAGACCTCAGAGACCTCACAGACCTCACACAGACCTCACAGACCTCAGAGACCTCACAGACCTCACAGACCTCACAGACCTCACAGACCTCAGAGACCTCACAGACCTCACAGACCTCACAGACCTCAGAGACCTCACAGACCTCACAGACCTCACAGACCTCACAGACCTCACAGACCTCAGAGACCTCACAGACCTCAGAGACCTCACAGACCTCACAGACCTCACAGACCTCAGAGACCTCACAGACCTCTCAGACCTCACAGACCTCACAGACCTCTCAGACCTCACACAGACCTCACAGACCTCAGAGACCTCACAGACCTCACAGACCTCAGAGACCTCACAGACCTCACACAGACCTCACAGACCTCACAGACCTCACAGACCTCACAGACCTCACACAGACCTCACAGACCTCAGAGACCTCTCAGACCTCACAGACCTCACAGACCTCTCAGACCTCACAGACCTCACAGACCTCACAGACCTCACAGACCTCACAGACCTCAGAGACCTCAGAGACCTCACACAGACCTCACAGACCTCAGAGACCTCTCAGACCTCACAGACCTCACAGACCTCACACAGACCTCACAGACCTCAGAGACCTCACAGACCTCACAGACTCACAGACCTCACAGACCTCTCAGACTCTCAGAGACCTCACAGACCTCACAGACCTCACAGACCTCACAGACCTCACAGACCTCAGAGACACAGACCTCACAGACCTCACAGACCTCACAGACCTCACAGACCTCACAGACCTCACAGACCTCACAGACCTCACAGACCTCACAGACCTCACAGACCTCACAGACCTCACAGACCTCACAGACCTCACAGACCTCACAGACCTCACAGACCTCACAGACCTCACAGACCTCAGAGACCTCACAGACCTCACAGACCTCACAGACCTCACAGACCTCACAGACCTCACAGACCTCACAGACCTCACAGACCTCAGAGACCTCTCAGACCTCACAGACCTCACAGACCTCACAGACCTCACAGACCTCACAGACCTCAGAGACCTCACAGACCTCACAGACCTCACAGACCCTCACTGAGACCTCACAGACCTCACAGACCTCACAGACCTCACAGACCTCACAGACCTCAGAGACCTCACAGACCTCACAGACCTCACAGACCTCACAGACCTCACAGACCTCACAGACCTCACAGACCTCACAGACCTCACAGACCTCACAGACCTCACAGACCTCACAGACCTCACAGACCTCACAGACCTCACAGACCTCACAGACCTCACAGACCTCACAGACCTCACAGACCTCACCTCAGACCTCACAGACCTCACAGACCTCACAGACCTCACAGACCTCACAGACCTCACAGACCTCACAGACCTCAGAGACCTCACAGACCTCACAGACCTCACAGACCTCAGAGACCTCACGGACCTCACAGACCTCACAGACCTCACAGACCTCACAGACCTCACAGACCTCACAGACCTCACGGACCTCACAGACCTCACAGACCTCACAGACCTCACAGACCTCTCAGACCTCACAGACCTCACAGACCTCACAGACCTCACAGACCTCACAGACCTCTCAGACCTCACAGACCTCACAGACCTCAAGACCTCACAGACCTCACAGACCTCACAGACCTCACAGACCTCACAGACCTCACAGACCTCACAGACCTCACAGACCTCACAGACCTCACAGACCTCACAGACCTCAGAGACCTCACAGACCTCACAGACCTCACAGACCTCAGAGACCTCACAGACCTCACAGACCTCACAGACCTCAAGACCTCACAGACCTCACAGACCTCACAGACCTCACAGACCTCACAGACCTCACAGACCTCACAGACCTCACAGACCTCACAGACCTCACAGACCTCACAGACCTCACAGACCTCACAGACCTCACAGACCTCACAGACCTCACAGACCTCACAGACCTCACAGACCTCACAGACCTCACAGACCTCACAGACCTCACAGACCTCACAGACCTCACAGACCTCAGAGACCTCACAGACCTCACAGACCTCACAGACCTCACAGACCTCACAGACCTCACAGACCTCACAGACCTCACAGACCTCACAGACCTCACAGACCTCACAGACCTCACAGACCTCACAGACCTCACAGACCTCACAGACCTCACAGACCTCACAGACCTCACAGACCTCACAGACCTCACAGACCTCACAGACCTCACAGACCTCACAGACCTCACAGACCTCACAGACCTCACAGACCTCACAGACCTCACAGACCTCAGAGACTCTCAGACCTCACAGACCTCACAGACCTCACAGACCTCTCAGACCTCAGAGACCTCACAGACCTCACAGACCTCACAGACCTCACAGACCTCACGGACCTCACGGACCTCACAGACCTCACAGACCTCACAGACCTCACAGACCTCACAGACCTCACAGACCTCACGGACCTCACAGACCTCACAGACCTCACAGACCTCACAGACCTCACGGACCTCACAGACACTCACAGACCTCAGAGACCTCACAGACCTCAGAGACCTCTCAGACCTCACAGACCTCACGACCTCACGGACCTCACAGACACTCACAGACCTCACAGACCTCACAGACCTCTCAGACCTCACAGACCTCACAGACCTCTCAGACCTCACAGACCTCACAGACCTCAGAGACCTCTCAGACCCTCACAGACCTCACAGACCTCACAGACCTCACAGACCTCACAGACCTCACAGACCTCACAGACCTCTCAGACCTCAGAGACCTCACAGACCTCACAGACCTCAGACCTCAGACCTCTCAGACCTCACAGACCTCACAGACCTCAGAGACCTCACAGACCTCACAGACCTCACAGACTTCACAGACCTCAGACCTCACAGACCTCTCAGACCTCACAGACCTCACAGACCTCAGAGACCTCACAGACCTCACAGACCTCAGACCTCACAGACCTCTCAGACCTCACAGACCTCAGAGACCTCACAGACCTCACAGACCTCACAGACCTCACAGACCTCTCAGACCTCACAGACCTCTCACAGACCTCACAGACCTCACAGACCTCACAGACCTCTCAGACCTCTCAGACCTCACAGACCTCAGACCTCACAGACCTCACAGACCAGAGTGATCTGAATAATACATGTCCTGTGTGCTCATGTGAGAGGAGAGTTCTGAAGAGCACAGTGCTGAGGAGGCATCTCTGTCTGCCCTGAGGAGGTGGGGGGGGGGGGGGGAGGGGGAGGGGGGGGGGGGGGGGGGGGGCTGTCTTACACTCCACTCTTCACTCAGACTCTGTGTCAGGTTCAGATCCAGATCTTCTTCAAGAGCAGCAGCGTTAAAAAGAGTGAAGACATTTCAGTGTTTTAACCTGGACTTGAACATTGTCTCACATTTTAAGGAAGACTGCTCCAGATTTTAGCATAAATCTGAGACGCTGCCTCCCCATGGTTAGTCCTGACTCTGGGACCAGCAGGAGGCCAGTCCCTGTGCTCCTCAGAGCAGGAGGCCAGTCCCTGTGCTCCTCAGAGCAGGAGGCCAGTCCCTGTGCTCCTCAGAGCAGGAGGCCAGTCCCTGTGCTCCTCAGAGCAGGAGGCCAGTCCCTGTGCTCCTCAGAGCAGGAGGCCAGTCCCTGTGCTCCAGTGTTAAACTGAGTGAAGGAGAAATGGTTGGATGCAGTTGTTGCTGCTTTTCTCCTCAATCCCAGCGTCTCGTTTTCCTCCGTCTCACTCGAGATGCCTCCCCCCACGGTGCCTCCCCCCACGGTGCCTCCCCCCACGGTGCCTCCCCCCACGGTGCCTCCCCCCACGGTGCCTCCCCCCACAGTGCCTCCCCCCACGGTGCCTCCTCCCACGGTGCCTCCCCCCACGGTGCCTCCCCCCACGGTGCCTCCCCCCACGGTGCCTCCCCCCACGGTGCCTCCCCCCACGGTGCCTCCCCCCACAGTGCCTCCCCCCACAGTGCCTCCCCCCACAGTGCCTCCCCCCACAGTGCCTCCCCCCACAGTGCCTCCCCCCACGGTGCCTCCCCCCACGGTGCCTCCCCCCACGGTGCCTCCCCCCACGGTGCCTCCCCCCACAGTGCCTCCCCCCACAGTGCCTCCCCCCACGGTGCCTCCCCCCATGGTGCCTCCCCCCACGGTGCCTCCCCCCATGGTGCCTCCCCCCATGGTGCCTCAGCTCCTTCTCTGTTACTGGTGTTGGCTCAGATCCTCAGGCTGACGGCAGAGACCCCCCCCCCCCTCAAACAAGTCCTTTCTGAACTATATTTTAGCTTCTGAGCTCCTACAGAACGTGAACCATGAGGAGCGCAGCGAGAGGGAGACGAGAGAGGGGAGAGAGGAGAGAGGGGGGAGGAGAGAGAGGAGAGAGGGGGGAGGAGAGAGAGGAGAGAGGGGGGAGGAGAGAGAGGAGAGAGGAGAGAGAGGAGAGAGAGGAGAGAGAGGAGAGAGAGGAGAGAGAGAGGAGAGAGAGGGGAGAGAGGAGAGAGGGGAGGAGAGAGAGGCTCAGCCTCAGCCTCAGTCTCAGTCTCAGCCTCAGCCTCAGCCTCAGCCTCAGCCTCAGCCTCAGTCTCAGTCTCAGCCTCAGTCTCAGTCTCAGTCTCAGTCTCAGTCTCAGCCTCAGCCTCAGCCTCAGCCTCAGTCTCAGTCTCAGCCTCAGCCTCAGCCTCAGCCTCAGCCTCAGTCTCAGTCTCAGTCTCAGTCTCAGCCTCAGCCTCAGCCTCAGCCTCAGCCTCAGCCTCAGCCTCAGCCTCAGCCTCAGCCTCAGTCTCAGCCTCAGCCTCAGCCTCAGCCTCAGCCTCAGCCTCAGCCTCAGCCTCAGCCTCAGCCTCAGTCTCAGCCTCAGCCTCAGCCTCAGCCTCAGTCTCAGCCTCAGCCTCAGTCTCAGCCTCAGCGCAGACTGTGGGTTAGGGTTAGGGTTAGCTGCTGTAGTTCTCTGTCGCCCACTCAGCGCTGTATGAATCACTCTTCCTGGATCTTCTTCTTCTCTGTATCAACGACGCCATTGCTCTGAAATCCCCAAACCGCTGCCCCCTCCTGGTTCTCTGCTGCAACAACACATCAGGAAAACTAACCCTGTTCTGTCGCTTTGGAAAAGAAGTAAAGGTTCTCAAACTGGGGTTACACACTGAGACATGAGAAGATACTCTGTTGTTTTGTGTGTTGGTGGTTAGCGTTTCCTGGGTTTGATTCCTGTGTGGAGTTTGCGTGTTCTCCCCGTGTCTGTGTAGGTTTCCTCTGGGTGCTCCGGTTTCCCACATGGAGCAGCGGCTCTGTGTGATTCTCTGATCTGTGTTGGAGAATCGACAGCTGTGTAGTGTCCTCAGAGAGACTGACTGTGCTGGTTTAGGGCGATACATAAATAAATCTGAGTGAGACTGAAACCTTCTCTCGCCGCAGTGTCGTCCTGCATCACGACCTACAAGAAGACCCCGCCCCCTGTGCCCCCCCGCACCTCCACATGCTCCGCCTCCAAACCCTTCATCTCCATCACGGCTCAGAGCAGCACCGAGTCCGCCCAGGTCAGTTCTGTCAGTCCTGTCAGTCCCTGTCAGTCCCCGTCAGTCCCCGTCAGTCCCAGTCAGTCCCCGTCAGTCCCAGTCAGTCCCAGTCAGTTCCAGTCAGTCCCAGTCAGTCCCAGTCAGTCCCTGTCAGTCCCAGTCAGTCCCTGTCAGTCCCAGTCAGTCCCAGTCAGTCCCAGTCAGTCCCAGTCAGTCCTGTCAGTCCCAGTCAGTCCTGTCAGTCCCTGTAGAGTAGAGTAGAGTAGAGTACACTAGACTAGACTAGACTAGACTAGAGCCAGTCTCCATTGCCCTAAAACAGGTGTGATCGCTCTGAGTTCAGGGGTCACCATCATCCATGCTTCATCTGGGTATGCACCATGGGGAGGAGCAGCAGCTCTATTCCGAGCTCCCTCCCCTGAGGGTTGTGAGCGAAGTGTGGACTCAGTTAAAAGAGTAAACAGCAGGAGTCAGGATTCCACCTGTGACCCTGACTCTGTGACCCTGACTCTGTGAACCTGACTCTGTGAACCTGACTCTGTGAACCTGACTCTGTGACCCTGACTCTGTGAACCTGACTCTGTGAACCTGACTCTGTGAACCTGACTCTGTGAACCTGACTCTGTGACCCTGACTCTGTGAACCTGACTCTGTGACCCTGACTCTGTGAACCTGACTCTGTAACCCTGACTCTGTGAACCTGACTCTGTGACCCTGACTCTGTGAACCTGACTCTGTGAACCTGACTCTGTGAACCTGACTCTGTGAACCTGACTCTGTGAACCTGACTCTGTGAACCTGACTCTGTGAACCTGACTCTGTGAACCTGACTCTGTGAACCTGACTCTGTGAACCTGACTCTGTGACCCTGACTCTGTGAACCTGACTCTGTGAACCTGACTCTGTGAACCTGACTCTGTGACCCTGACTCTGTGAACCTGACTCTGTGTGACTCTGTGAACCTGACTCTGTGAACCTGACTCTGTGACCTGACTCTGTGAACCTGACTCTGTGAACCTGACTCTGTGACCTGACTCTGTGACCTGACTCTGTGAACCTGACTCTGTGAACCTGACTCTGTGAACCTGACTCTGTGAACCTGACTCTGTGACCCTGACTCTGTGAACCTGACTCTGTGAACCTGACTCTGTGACCTGACTCTGTGAACCTGACTCTGTGAACCTGACTCTGTGAACCTGACTCTGTGAACCTGACTCTGTGAACCTGACTCTGTGACCTGACTCTGTGAACCTGACTCTGTGAACCTGACTCTGACTCTGTGAACCTGACTCTGTGAACCTGACTCTGTGAACCTGACTCTGTGAACCTGACTCTGTGAACCTGACTCTGTGAACCTGACTCTGTGAACCTGACTCTGTGACCCTGACTCTGTGAACCTGACTCTGTGACCCTGACTCTGTGAACCTGACTCTGTGACCTGACTCTGTGACCTGACTCTGTGACCTGACTCTGTGAACCTGACTCTGTGACCCTGACTCTGTGACCTGACTCTGTGACCTGACTCTGTGAACCTGACTCTGTGAACCTGACTCTGTGAACCTGACTCTGTGAACCTGACTCTGTGACCCTGACTCTGTGACCCTGACTCTGTGACCTGACTCTGTGAACCTGACTCTGTGAACCTGACTCTGTGAACCTGACTCTGTGAACCTGACTCTGTGAACCTGACTCTGTGAACCTGACTCTGTGAACCTGACTCTGTGAACCTGACTCTGTGAACCTGACTCTGTGACCCTGACTCTGTGACCCTGACTCTGTGACCCTGACTCTGTGAACCTGACTCTGTGACCCGACTCTGTGAACCTGACTCTGTGAACCTGACTCTGTGAACCTGACTCTGTGAACCTGACTCTGTGAACCTGACTCTGTGAACCTGACTCTGTGACCCTGACTCTGTGAACCTGACTCTGTGAACCTGACTCTGTGAACCTGACTCTGTGAACCTGACTCTGTGAACCTGACTCTGTGACCCTGACTCTGTGACCCTGACTCTGTGAACCTGACTCTGTGACCTGACTCTGTGAACCTGACTCTGTGAACCTGACTCTGTGAACCTGACTCTGTGAACCTGACTCTGTGACCCTGACTCTGTGAACCTGACTCTGTGAACCTGACTCTGTGACCCTGACTCTGTGACCCTGACTCTGTGACCTGACTCTGTGACCTGACTCTGTGAACCTGACTCTGTGAACCTGACTCTGTGACCCTGACTCTGTGACCCTGACTCTGTGACCTGTGACCTGACTCTGTGAACCTGACTCTGTGAACCTGACTCTGTGAACCTGACTCTGTGAACCTGACTCTGTGACCTGACTCTGTGACCCTGACTCTGTGACCTGACTCTGTGAACCTGACTCTGTGAACCTGACTCTGTGAACCTGACTCTGTGAACCTGACTCTGTGAACCTGACTCTGTGAACCTGACTCTGTGAACCTGACTCTGTGAACCTGACTCTGTGAACTCTTGACTGACTCTGTGACCCTGACTCTGTGAACCTGACTCTGTGAACCTGACTCTGTGACCCTGACTCTGTGACCCTGACTCTGTGAACCTGACTCTGTGAACCTGACTCTGTGACCCTAACTCTGTGAACCTGACTCTGTGAACCTGACTCTGTGACCCTGACTCTGTGACCCTGACTCTGTGAACCTGACTCTGTGAACCTGACTCTGTGAACCTGACTCTGTGACCCTGACTCTGTGAACCTGACTCTGTGACCCTAACTCTGTGAACCTGACTCTGTGAACCTGACTCTGTGACCCTGACTCTGTGACCCTGACTCTGTGAACTGTAATGCTAACACATAAAACACATTTATAACATATTTATCATCAGTGTTGGTTAAAAACTTCATGATAAAGTGTTTCTGAGGTTTCCTCTGGAGACAGACCGAGGACAGACCGAGGACAGACTGAGGACAGACCGAGGAGACAGACCGAGACCGAGGACGGACCGACGACAGACCGAGGACGGACCGAGGACAGACCGAGGACAGACCGAGGACGGACCGAGGACGGACCGAGGACAGACCGAGGACGGACCGAGAACAGACCGAGGACGGACCGAGGACGGACCGAGGACGGACCGAGGACAGACCGAGAACAGACCGAGGACGGACCGAGAACAGACCGAGGACGGACCGAGGACAGACCGAGGACAGACCGAGGACAGACCGAGGACGGACCGAGGACAGACCGAGGACAGACCGAGGACAGACCGAGAACAGACCGAGGACGGACCGAGGACAGACCGAGGACGGACCGAGGACGGACCGAGGACAGACCGAGGACGGACCGAGGACGGACCGAGGACGGACCGAGGACGGACCGAGGACAGACCGAGAACAGACCGAGGACGGACCGAGAACAGACCGAGGACGGACCGAGGACAGACCGAGGACAGACCGAGGACAGACCGAGGACGGACCGAGGACAGACCGAGGACAGACCGAGGACAGACCGAGGACAGACCGAGAACAGACCGAGGACGGACCGAGGACAGACCGAGGACGGACCGAGGACAGACCGAGGACGGACCGAGGACAGACCGAGAACAGACCGAGGACAGACCGAGAACAGACCGAGGACAGACCGAGGACGGACCGAGGACAGACCGAGGACGGACCGAGGACGGACCGAGGACAGACCGAGGACGGACCGAGGACGGACCGAGGACAGACCGAGGACGGACCGAGAACAGACCGAGGACAGACCGAGGACGGACCGAGGACAGACCGAGGACAGACCGAGGACGGACCGAGGACGGACCGAGGACGGACCGAGAACAGACCGAGGACGGACCGAGGACAGACCGAGGACAGACCGAGGAGACAGACCGAGAACAGACCGAGAACAGACCGAGGACGGACCGAGACCGAGGACAGACCGAGGACAGACCGAGGACGGACCGAGGACGGACCGAGAACAGACCGAGGACGGACCGAGAACAGACCGAGGACGGACCGAGGACAGACCGAGACCGAGGACAGACCGAGAACAGACCGAGGACGGACCGAGAACAGACCGAGGACGGACCGAGGACAGACCGAGGACAGACCGAGGACAGACCGAGGACGGACCGAGGACAGACCGAGGACAGACCGAGGACAGACCGAGAACAGACCGAGGACGGACCGAGGACAGACCGAGGACGGACCGAGGACAGACCGAGGACGGACCGAGGACGGACCGAGGACAGACCGAGGACGGACCGAGGACGGACCGAGGACAGACCGAGGACGGACCGAGGACAGACCGAGAACAGACCGAGGACGGACCGAGAACAGACCGAGGACGGACCGAGGACAGACCGAGGACAGACCGAGGACAGACCGAGGACAGACCGAGGACAGACCGAGGACAGACCGAGAACAGACCGAGGACGGACCGAGGACAGACCGAGGACGGACCGAGGACAGACCGAGGACGGACCGAGGACGGACCGAGGACAGACCGAGGACGGACCGAGGACAGACCGAGAACAGACCGAGGACAGACCGAGAACAGACCGAGGACAGACCGAGGACGGACCGAGGACAGACCGAGGACGGACCGAGGACAGACCGAGGACGGACCGAGGACAGACCGAGGACAGACCGAGGACGGACCGAGGACAGACCGAGAACAGACCGAGGACAGACCGAGGACGGACCGAGACCGAGGACAGACCGAGGACAGACCGAGGACGGACCGAGGACGGACCGAGAACAGACCGAGGACGGACCGAGAACAGACCGAGGACGGACCGAGGACAGACCGAGACCGAGGACAGACCGAGGACAGACCGAGGACGGACCGAGGACAGACCGAGGACGGACCGAGGACAGACCGAGGAGACAGACCGAGACCGAGGACGGACCGACGACAGACCGAGGACAGACCGAGGACGGACCGAGGACAGACCGAGGACGGACCGAGGACAGACCGAGGACGGACCGAGGACAGACCGAGGACGGACCGACGACAGACCGAGGACAGACCGAGGACAGACCGAGGACGGACCGACGACAGACCGAGGACAGACCGAGGACGGACCGAGGACAGACCGAGGACGGACCGAGGACAGACCGAGGACGGACCGAGAACAGACCGAGGACGGACCGAGGACAGACCGAGACCGAGGACAAACCGAGGACAGACCGAGGACAGACCGAGGACGGACCGAGGACAGACCGAGACCGACGACAGACCGAGGACGGGCTGAGGACAGACCGAGGACAGACCGAGGACGGACCGAGGACGGACCGAGGACAGACCGAGACCGACGACAGACCGAGGACGGGCTGAGGACAGACCGAGGACAGACCGAGGACGGACCGAGGACAGACCGAGGACAGACCGAGGACGGACCGAGGACAGACCGAGGAGACAGACCGAGAACAGACCGAGGACGGACCGAGGACGGACCGAGACCGAGGACAGACCGAGGACAGACCGAGGACGGACCGAGGACGGACCGAGAACAGACCGAGGACGGACCGAGAACAGACCGAGGACGGACCGAGGACAGACCGAGACCGAGGACAGACCGAGACCGAGGACAGACCGAGGACAGACCGAGGACGGACCGAGAACAGACCGAGGACGGACCGAGGACAGACCGAGACCGACGACAGACCGAGGACGGGCTGAGGACAGACCGAGGACAGACCGAGGACGGACCGAGGACAGACCGAGGACAGACTGAGTCATTTTATTCCATCTCCATTAAACTCACAGCTGAGCGTTTTAATGGTCCTGGTCTGGGTCCTGGGTCTGGGTCCTGGTCCTGGTCTGGGTCCTGGGTCTGGGTCCTGGTCCTGGTCTGGGTCCTGGTCTGGGTCCTGGATCCTGGGTCTGGGTCCTGGTCCTGGTCTGGGTCCTGGGTCTGGGTCCTGGATCCTGGGTCTGGGTCCTGGTCCTGGTCTGGGTCCTGGTCTGGGTCCTGGGTCTGGGTCCTGGTCCTGGTCTGGGTCCTGGTCTGGGTCCTGGTCTGGGTCCTGGTCCTGGTCTGGGTCTAACGTTGCTGTGTTTGCAGGATGCGTACATGGAGGAGGAGGGGCCTCGCGGGGACATGACCGTCCAATCAGGACTCTCCAACTCCACCGAGAGCATCGACAGCATGAAGGCCCTGACGGCGGCCATTGAGGCGGCCAACGCACAGGTACCAGTATTCTGTATATGACCCTGTATATGATCCTGTACCAGCGGGTATTCTGTATATGACCCTGTATATGACCCTGTACCAGCGGTATTCTGTATATGACCCTGTACCATCGGGTATTCTGTATATGACCCTGTACCATCGGGTATTCTGTATATGACCCTGTACCATCGGTATTCTGTATATGACCCTGTACCAGCGGTATTCTGTATATGACCCTGTACCATCGGGTATTCTGTATATGACCCTGTACCAGCGGTATTCTGTATATGACCCTGTACCATCGGGTATTCTGTATATGACCCTGTACCATCGGGTATTCTGTATATGACCCTGTACCAGCGGTATTCTGTATATGACCCTGTACCATCGGGTATTCTGTATATGACCCTGTACCAGCGGGTATTCTGTATATGACCCTGTATATGACCATGTACCAGCGGGTATTCTGTATATGACCCTGTATATGACCCTGTACCAGCGGGTATTCTGTGTATGATCCTGTACCCATGGTCCAGTCCTGGCTCAGACCTGGCTCAGACCTGGCTCAGACCTGGCTCAGACCTGGCTCAGACCTGGTATATTATGTTAGATATAAGTTAAATATAAGTTATATATATATATTAGATATATGTTATATATAAGTTAGATATAAGTTAGATATAAGTTAGATATATGTTAGATATAAGTTAGATATAAGTTAGATATAAGTTAGATATAAGTTAGATATATGTTAGATATAAGTTAGATATAAGTTATATATATGTTAGATATATGTTATATATAAGTTAGATATAAGTTATATATATGTTAGATATATGTTATATATAAGTTAGATATAAGTTAGATATATGTTATATATGTTATATATATGTTATATATAAGTTAGATATATGTTATATATGTTAGATATAAGTTATATATATGTTAGATATATGATATATATATGTTAGATATATGTTAGATATAAGTTATATATATGTTAGATATATGATATATATATGTTAGATATAAGTTATATATAAGTTAGATTGTCCACAGTCTCCTGTATTTCAGGCTTTGAGCCCAAACTACTTTTCCTACGGTTCCTTTGACACAGTCTGTTCCTGCAGCCGCTCCATGCTTCACAGAAAGTAATCGCACACGGACCAATCACAGCGGAGCTTCTCTTGCACACAGACCAATCACAGCGGAGCTTCTCTTGCACACCGACCAATCACAGCGGAGCTTCTCTTGCACACCGACCAATCGCAGCGGAGCTTCTCTTGCACACCGACCAATCACAGCGGAGCTTCTCTTGCACACCAACCAATCACAGCGGAGTTTCTCTTGCACACCGACCAATCACAGCGGAGCTTCTCTCGCAGACCGACCAATCACAGCGGAGCTTCTCGTGCACACCGACCAATCACAGCGGAGCTTCTCGTGCACACCGACCAATCACAGAGGAGCTTGGAGGTGTTGGAGGGTGGGCGGCTACGTAAGGGTCTGCGATGATCCACGCGTTGCTCAAGTCACGTCACCTCCGTAAGCTCCGCACGAGTATACACTGGGCTGAGTGCTTCTATTTGAGCTATTTTTAGAACAGGCCAGCGGGCGACTCATCTGGTCCTCACGGGCGACTCATCTGGTCCTCACGGGCGACTCATCTGGTCCTCACGGGCGACTCATCTGGTCCTCACGGGCGACTCATCTGGTCCTCACGGGCGACTCATCTGGCCTTACGGGCGACTCATCTGTTCCGTACGGGCGACTCATCTGGTCCTTACGGGCGACTCATCTGGTCCTTACGGGCGACTCATCTGGTCCTTACGGGCGACTCATCTGGCCTTACGGGCGACTCATCTGGTCCTTACGGGCGACTCATCTGTTCCGTACGGGCGACTCATCTGGCCTTACGGGCGACTCATCTGGTCCTTACGGGCGACTCATCTGGTCCTCACAGGCGACTCATCTGGTCTTCACGGGTGACTCATCTGTTCCGTACGGGCGACTCATCTGGTCCTTACAGGCGACTCATCTGGTCCTTACGGGCGACTCATCTGTTCCGTACGGGCGACTCATCTGGTCTTACGGGCGACTCATCTGGTCCTTACGGGCGACTCATCTGGTCCTTACAGGCGACTCATCTGTTCCTTACGGGCGACTCATCTTGTCCTTACGGGCGACTCATCTGGTCCTTACGGGCGACTCATCTGGTCCTTACGGGCGACTCATCTGGCCTTACGGGCGACTCATCTGTTCCTTACGGGCGACTCATCTGGCCCTCACGGGCGACTCATCTGGTCCTCACGGGCGACTCATCTGGTCCTCACGGGCGACTCATCTGGTCCTTACGGGCGACCCATCTGGTCCTTACGGGCGACTCATCTGGCCTTACGGGCGACTCATCTGGTCCTCACGGGCGACTCATCTGGTCCTTACGGGCGACTCATCTGGCCCTCACGGGCGACTCATCTGGACCTTACGGGCGACTCATCTGGCCTTACGGGCGACTCATCTGGTCCTTACGGGCGACTCATCTGGTCCTTACGGGCGACTCATCTGTTCCGTGCGGGCGACTCATCTGGCCCTCACAGACGACTCATCTGGCCCTCACGGGCGACTCATCTGGTCCTCACGGGCGAATCATCTGGTCCTTACGGGCGACTCATCTGGTCCGTACGGGCGACTCATCTGGCCTTACGGGCGACTCATCTGGTCCTTACAGGCGACACATCTGGTCCTCACGGGCGACTCATCTGGTCCTCACGGGCAACTCATCTGGTCCTCACGGGCGACTCATCTGGTCCTCACGGGCGACTCATCTGGTCCTCACGGGCGACTCATCTGGTCCTCACGGGCGACTCATCTGGTCCTTACGGGCGACTCATCTGGTCCTCACGGGCGACTCATCTGGTCCTTACGGGCGACTCATCTGGTCCTTACGGGGCGACTCATCTGGCCTTACGGGCGACTCATCTGGTCCTTACGGGCAACTCATCTGGTCCTTACGGGCGACTCATCTGGCCTTACAGGCGACTCATCTGGTCCTTACAGGCGACTCATCTGTTCCGTACGGGCGACTCATCTGGTCCTCACGGGCGACTCATCTGGTCCTCACGGGCGACTCATCTGGTCCTCACGGGCGACTCATCTGGTCCTTACGGGCGACTCATCTGGTCCTTACGGGCGACTCATCTGGTCCTTACGGGCGACTCATCTGGTCCTTCCTCTCTCCTTCATGGTTCCTCTCTCTCCTTCATGGTTCCTCTCTCTCCTTCATGGTTCCTCTCTCTCCTTCATGGTTCCTCTCTTTCCTTCATGGTTCCTCTCTGTCTTCATGGTTCCTCTCTCTCCTTCATGGTTCCTCTCTCTCCTTCATGGTTCCTCTCTCTGTCTTCATGGTTCCTCTTTCTCCTTCATGGTTCCTCTCTCTCCTTCATGGTTCCTCTCTCTGTCTTCATGGTTCCTCTCTCTCCTTCATGGTTCCTCTCTCTCCTTCATGGTTCCTCTCTGTCTTCATGGTTCCTCTCTCTCCTTCATGGTTCCTCTCTGTCTTCATGGCTCCTCTCTCTCCTTCATGGTTCCTCTCTCTCCTTCATGGTTCCTCTCTCTGTCTTCATGGTTCCTCTCTCTCCTTCATGGTTCCTCTCTCTCCTTCATGGTTCCTCTCTCTTTCTTCATGGTTCCTCTCTCTTCATCATGGTTCCTCTCTCCTTCATGGTTCCTCTCTCTCCTTCATGGTTCCTCTCTCTGTCTTCATGGTTCCTCTCTCTCCTTCATGGTTCCTCTCTCCTTCATGGTTCCTCTCTCTCCTTCATGGTTCCTCTTTCTGTCTTCATGGTTCCTCTCTCTGTGTTCATGGTTCCTCTCTCTCCTTCATGGTTCCTCTCTATGTCTTCATGGTTCCTCTCTCTCCTTCATGGTTCCTCTCTCGGTCATCATGGTTCCTCTCTCTCCTTCATGGTTCCTCTCTCTCCTTCATGGTTCCTCTCTGCAGGTTCATGGTCCGGCGAGTCAGCGCGTCAACAGCCACGCGCCTCTCAAGGTGAGCCACAGCGCCCAACATCAGTCCCACCCCCAGCACCCACCGCTGGGCCCTCACCTGTCCCATGGCTCCTCCCACCAACACAGCTCCTCCCACCAACAGCACGGCCCCTCCCACCACCATGGCTCCTCCCACAACCAACATAGCTCCTCCCACAACTTACAGAGCTCCTCCCACAACCAACACGGTTCCTCCCACCAACAGCAAGGCTCCTCCCATCAAACTCACGTCCCCTCCCACAATCATCATAGCTCCTCCCACAATCAGCATAGCTCCTCCCACAATCAACATAGCTCCTCCCACAACCAATACAGCTCCTCCCACAACCAACACGGCCCCTCCCACCACCACCACCCACAGCTGTCCAGCCAGTCACATCACAGCGTGCATAGCTCCGCCCCTCACCCCCATGGCCCTGCCCACTCGTCTCACTCTCACGGTTCTCATCATGGCGTCCAGAGCCATGCACCGGCGGTTGTGAGCCGCGGGTCAATGGCGGACGACCACGACGACTACAGGAAGGAGGCGCTGAGGAAGGGGAAGTGTCTGTCCATCGGGATTCAGGTCAGTGTCTGCGAGAAACTGACGAGTGTCGCTCTGAGCTTATTACTCTGGCAGAACACTGACAAACATGTAACTCAGACGCACTTCCCATGTCTGCCACCAGGGGGAGTCAGACATGTGGATAGATAGATGTCAACATAATACACAGGATAAAGAGCCACGTGTGGGAAACGTCTGAGGAAAGTGAACTTAGTAACTGACGATGATGTTTACAGACACTTTCACAGACACTTTCACACACACTTTCACTGACACTTTCACACACACTTTTACAGACACTTTCACACACACTTTTACAGACACTTTCACAGACACTTTCACAGACACTTTCACACACACTTTCACAGACACTTTCACAGACACTTTCACAGACACTTTCACACACACTTTCACTGACACTTTCACACACACTTTTACAGACACTTTCACACACACTTTTACAGACACTTTCACAGACACTTTCACAGACACTTTCACACACACTTTTACAGACACTTTCACACACACTTTCACACACACTTTCACAGACACTTTCACAGACACTTTCACAGACACTTTCACAGACACTTTCACACACACTTTTACAGACACTTTCACACACACTTTCACAGACACTTTCACAGACACTTTCACAGACACTTTCACACACACTTTCACAGACACTTTCACAGACACTTTCACTGACACTTTCACACACACTTTTACAGACACTTTCACACACACTTTTACAGACACTTTCACAGACACTTTCACAGACACTTTCACACACACTTTCACAGACACTTTCACAGACACTTTCACTGACACTTTCACAGACACTTTCACACACACTTTCACAGACACTTTCACACACACTTTCACTGACACTTTCACACACACTTTCACTGACACTTTCACACACACTTTCACAGACACTTTCACACACACTTTCACAGACACTTTCACACACACTTTCACAGACACTTTCACAGACACTTTCACAGACACTTTCACAGACACTTTCACTGACACTTTCACAGACACTTTCACAGACACTTTCACACACACTTTCACAGACACTTTCACACACACTTTCACAGACACTTTCACACACACTTTCACTGACACTTTCACAGACACTTTCACAAACACTTTCACAGACACTTTTACAGACACTTTCACAGACACTTTCACACACACTTTCACAGACACTTTCACAGACACTTTCACAGACACTTTCACAAACACTTTCACAGACACTTTCACAGACTTTTTCACAGACACTTTCACAGACACTTTCACAGACACTTTCACAGACACTTTCACACACACTTTCACAGACACTTTCACACACACTTTCACAGACACTTTCACAGACACTTTCACAGACACTTTCACACACACTTTTACACACACTTTCACAGACACTTTCACAGACACTTTCACACACACTTTTACAGACACTTTCACAGACACTTTCACAGACACTTTCACACACACTTTCACAGACACTTTCACAGACACTTTCACACACACTTTCACAGACACTTTCACACACACTTTCACAGACACTTTCACAGACACTTTCACAGACACTTTCACAGACACTTTCACAGGCACTTTCACAGACACTTTCACACACACTTTCACAGACACTTTCACAGACACTTTCACAGACACTTTCACAGGCACTTTCACAGACACTTTCACACACACTTTTACAGACACTTTCACAGACACTTTCACACACACTTTTACAGACACTTTCACACACACTTTCACAGGCACTTTCACAGACACTTTCACAGACACTTTCACAGACACTTTCACAGACACTTTCACACACACTTTCACAGACACTTTCACAGACACTTTCACGACACTTTCACACACACTTTTACAGACACTTTCACACACACACACTTTCACAGACACTTTCACAGACACTTTCACAGACACTTTCACAGACACTTTCACAGACACTTTCACAGACACTTTCACAGACACTTTCACAGACACTTTCACAGACACTTTCACAGACACACACACTTTCACTGACACTTTCACACACACTTTCACTGACACTTTCACACACACTTTCACACAACACACTTTCACACACACTTTCACAGACACTTTCACACACACTTTCACAGACACTTTCACAGACACTTTCACAGACACTTTCACAGACACTTTCACTGACACTTTCACAGACACTTTCACAGACACTTTCACACACACTTTCACAGACACTTTCACACACACTTTCACAGACACTTTCACACACACTTTCACTGACACTTTCACAGACACTTTCACAAACACTTTCACAGACACTTTTACAGACACTTTCACAGACACTTTCACACACACTTTCACAGACACTTTCACAGACACTTTCACAGACACTTTCACAAACACTTTCACAGACACTTTCACAGACACTTTCACACACACTTTCACAGACACTTTCACACACACTTTCACAGACACTTTCACAGACACTTTCACAGACACTTTCACACACTTTCACACTTTCACACACACTTTCACAGACACTTTCACAGACACTTTCACAGACACTTTCACAGACACTTTCACAGACACTTTCACAGACACTTTCACAGACACTTTCACAGACACTTTCACAGACACTTTCACACACACTTTCACAGACACTTTCACACACACTTCACTTTCACACACACTTTCACAGACACTTTCACAGACACTTTCACAGACACTTTCACAGACACTTTCACAGACACTTTCACACACACTTTCACAGACACTTTACAACACACAGACACTTTCACAGACACTTTCACAGCACTTTCACAGACACTTTCACACACACTTTCACAGACACTTTCACAGACACTTTCACACACACTTTCACAGACACTTTCACAGACACTTTCACAGACACTTTCACAGACACTTTCACAGACACTTTCACATTACACTTTCACACACTTTCACAGACACTTTCACAGACACTTTCACAGACACTTTCACAGACACTTTCACAGACACTTTCACAGACACTTTCACAGACACTTTCACAGACACTTTCACAGACACTTTCACAGACACTTTCACAGACACTTTCACAGACACACTTTCACAGACACTTTCACAGACACTTTCACAGACACTTTCACAGACACTTTCACAGACACTTTCACAAACACTTTCACAGACACTTTCACACACACTTTCACAGACACTTTCACAGACACTTTCACAGACACTTTCACACACACTTTCACAGACACTTTCACAGACACTTTCACAGACACTTTCACAGACACTTTCACACACACTTTCACAGACACTTTCACACACACTTTCACAGACACTTTCACACACACTTTCACAGACACTTTCACAGACACTTTCACACACACTTTCACACACACTTTCACACACACTTTCACACACACTTTCACAGACACTTTCACAGACACTTTCACAGACACTTTCACAGACACTTTCACACACACTTTCACAGACACTTTCACAGACACTTTCACAGACACTTTCACAGACACTTTCACAGACACTTTCACACACACTTTCACAGACACTTTCACAGACACTTTCACAGAAACTTTCACAGACACTTTCACACACACTTTCACACACACTTTCACAGACACTTTCACAGACACTTTGCCTCAGCTCTTGTTCTAAATCATATCGTACTTAAGAGGCGCTCAGAGGCACAGATGTTTAAAGTATGAACAAACTAAACACACCTGGCTCCTCTCCGTGCGGAAAAGCAGTGGAAACGTAGATTGACCAATAAACCCAGAGCTCTTACTACAGACGCTGCTCCCTCTTTCTCACTACAGTCCTCGCCCCTGGCCCCCAGAGAAGAGACCATGTTCCCCAGACGCCTGGGATCAAATAAGAAAACAGTTTATCACTAACAGGATGATCCCAAAGTACAGGTGTAATTCCACCTGTCACCACTAGATGTCCATCATGTATCATTATTACTGACTCAGTTCCAAAACATGTCGTTCCAAAGTGAATGTTGCAGAAAACAGACTTTTATTTGGAACTTTGGAAATCCTCATAAAATTCTAATCTTAACAAACCAGACAAACTCCACGTGTGAAGCTGCTGCGTGTGTGGTGCTGTGTGTGTGTGTGTGTGTGTGTGTGTGTGTGTGGTGTGTGTGTGTGTGTGTGTGTGTGTGTGTGGTGTGTGTGTGTGTGTGTGTCTGTGTGTGTGTGTGTGTGTGTGTGTGTGTGTGTCTGTGTGTGTGGTGCTGTGTGTGTGTGTGTGTGTGTGTGTGTGGTGTGTGTGTGTGTGTGTCTGTGTGTGTGGTGCTGTGTGTGTGTGTGTGTGTGTGTGTGTGGTGTGTGTGGTGTGTGTGTGTGTGTCTGTGTGTGTGGTGCTGTGTGTGTGTGTGTGTGTGTGTGTGTGTGTGGTGTGTGTGTGTGTGTGTCTGTGTGTGTGGTGCTGTGTGTGTGTGTGTGTGTGTGTGTGTGTGTGTGTGTGTGTGTGTGTGTGTGTGTGTGTATGTGTGTGTGTGTGTGTGTGTGTGTGTGTGTGTGTGTCTGTGTGTGTGGTGCTGTGTGTGTGTGTGTGGTGTGTGTTTGTGTGTGTGTGTGTGTGTGTGTGTGTGTGTGTGTGTGTGTGTGTGTGTGTGTGTGTGTGTCTGTGTGTGTGGTGCTGTGTGTGTGTGTGTGTGTGTGTCTGTGTGTGTGGTGCTGTGTGTGTGTGTGTGTGTCTGTGTGTGTGGTGCTGTGTGTGTGTGTGTGTGTCTGTGTGTGTGGTGCTGTGTGTGTGGTGCTGTGTGGTGCTGTTTGTGGTGCTGTGTGTGTGGTGCTTTGTAGTGCTGTGTGTGTGGTGCTGTGTGTGTGGTGCTGTGTGGTGCTGTGTGTGTGGTGCTGTGTGTGTAGTGGTGTGTGTGTGTGGTGCTGTGTGGTGCTGTGTGTGTGGTGCTGTTTGTGGTGCTGTTTGTGTGTTGCCGTGTGGTGCTGCGTATGTGGTGCTGCGTGTGTGTTGCCGTGTGGTGCTGTGTGTGTGCTGTGTGTGGTGCTGTGTGTTGCAGTGTGGTGCTGTGTGTGTGTTGCCGTGTGGTGCTGTGTGTGTTGCCGTGTGGTGCTGCGTGTGTGGTGCTGCGTGTGTGGTGCTGCGTGTGTGTTGCCGTGTGGTGCTGTGTGTGTGCTGTGTGTGGTGCTGTGTGTTGCCGTGTGTGGTGCTGTGTGTGTGTTGCCGTGTGGTGCTGTGTGTGCGTTGTCGTGTGGTGCTGTGTGTGTGTGTTGCCGTGTGGTGCTGCGTGTGTGGTGCCGTGTGGTGCTGTGTGTGCGTTGTTGTGTGGTGCTGTGTGTGCGTTGTCGTGTGGTGCTGTGTGTGTGTGTTGCCGTGTGGTGCTGTGTGTGTGTTGCCGTGTGGTGCCGTGTGGTGCTGTGTGTGTGTTGCCGTGTGGTGCTGTGTGTGTTGCAGTGTGGTGCTGTGTGTGTGTTGCCGTGTGGTGCTGTGTGTGTTGCCGTATGGTGCTGTGTGTGTTGCCGTGTGGTGCTGTGTGTGTGTTGCCGTGTGGTGCTGTGTGTGTTGCCGTGTGTGGTGATGTCGCAGAAGTTCCAACAGTTCAAAGATCTGTGCGAAGACAACCTGGTGAGTGTGAGGAGGTCCTGAGGAGGTCCTTGTGAGTGTGAGGAGGTCCTTGGGCGGCACGGTGGCTGAGTGGATAGCACTCTCGCCTCTCAGCAAGAAGGTACTGGGTTCGAATCCCGGCCGGACCAGGGCCTTTCTGAGTGGAGTTTGCATGTTTTCCCCGTGTCTGCGTAGGTTTCCTCCGGGTACTCCGGTTTCCCCTACCACTAAAAATATGTCCAATAGTTCTGGCATGTGCCTCCTGTACTGGCCCCGCTCCCATCTCTGTGTGGAGTGAGAGACAAATGCCCAAAAATAACAATTGTAAACCGCTTTGTGGCTCTGGTCTGTGAAAGGCGGTATATAAATAAAGCTTACTTACTTACTTACTTGTGAGTGTGAGGAGGACCTGGTGAGTGTGAGGAGGTCCTGAGGAGGTCCTTGTGAGTGTGAGGAGGTCCTTGTGAGTGTGAGGAGGTCCTGCTGAGTGTGAGGAGGTCCTGCTGAGTGTGAGGAGGTCCTGGTGAGTGTGAGGAGGTCCTGCTGTGTGTGAGGAGGTCCTGCTGAGTGTGAGGAGGTCCTGGTGAGTGTGAGGAGGTCCTGGTGAGTGTGAGGAGGTCCTGCTGAGTGTGAGGAGGTCCTGGTGAGTGTGAGGAGGTCCTGGTGAGTGTGAGGAGGTCCTGCTGAGTGTGAGGAGGTCCTGAGGAGGTCCTTGTGATTGTGAGGAGGTCCTTGTGAGTGTGAGGAGGTCCTTGTGAGTGTGAGGAGGTCCTGGTGAGTGTGAGGAGGTCCTGCTGAGTGTGAGGAGGTCCTGGTGAGTGTGAGGAGGTCCTACTGAGTGTGAGGAGGTCCTGGTGAGTGTGAGGAGGTCCTGGTGAGTGTGAGGAGGTCCTGCTGAGTGTGAGGAGGTCCTGGTGAGTGTGAGGAGGACCTGGTGAGTGTGAGGAGGTCCTGCTGAGTGTGAGGAGGTCCTGGTGAGTGTGAGGAGGTCCTGCTGAGTGTGAGGAGGTCCTGGTGAGTGTGAGGAGGACCTGGTGAGTGTGAGGAGGTCCTACTGAGTGTGAGGAGGTCCTGGTGAGTGTGAGGAGGTCCTGGTGAGTGTGAGGAGGTCCTGCTGAGTGTGAGGAGGTCCTGCTGAGTGTGAGGAGGTCCTGCTGAGTGTGAGGAGGTCCTGCTTACTAATAAACCTCTCTGGTCTACTCCTTGTCTTCTCCTACTGGTCCTCACCTGGTTTCCTCCTGGTCCTCTCCTCCTGGTCCTCTCCTCCTGGTCTTCTCCTCCTGGTCCTCACCTGGTCTCCTCCTGGTCCTCTCCTCCTGGTCCTCACCTGGTCTCCCCCTGGTCCTCTCCTCCTGGTCCTTTCCTCCTGGTCCTCTCCTCCTGGTCCTCACCTGGTCTCCTCCTGGTCCTCTCCTCTTGGTCCTCACCTCTTGGCCCTCTCCTCCTGGTTCTCTCCTCGTCTCCTCCTGGTCCTCTCCTCCTGGTCCTCACCTGGTCTCCTCCTGTTCCTCACCTGGTCTCCTCCTGGCCCTCTCATCCTGGCCTTCTCCTCCTGGTCCTCTCCTCCCGGTCTCCTCCTGGCCCTCTCCTCCTGGCCCTCTCCTCCTGGTTCTCTCCTGGTCTCCTCTTGGTCATCTCCTCCTGGTCCTCACCTGGTCTCCTCCTGGTCCTCATCTGGTCTCCTCTTGGTCCTCCGCAGAGCCCCAGTGTCCACCCCCGCCCCGTGGCCTCAGACCTGGCCTCCTTCTGGGACCTCCTGCAGCTCTCCATCGAGAACATCAGCCTCAAGTTTGATGAGCTCCACCAGCTCCGAGCCAACGGCTGGAGGCCCCTGGAGGCCCCCGAGAGGAAGGTAGGGCCTGTGCACCTCCTCTGCACCTCCTCTGTGCACCTCCTCTGTGCCTTTTCTGTACCTCATCTGTGCACCTCCTCTGCACCTCCTCTGTGCACCTCCTCTGTGCCTTTTCTGTACCTCATCTGTGCACCTCCTCTGCGCCTTTGTTTGTACCTCCTCTGTACCTCCTCTGTGCACCTCCTCTGTACCTCCTCTGTGCGTCTTCTGTGCACCTCCTTTGCGTCTTTGTCTGTACCTCCTCTGTGCGCCTCCTCTGTACCTCCTCTGTGCGTCTTCTGTGCACCTCCTCTGCGTCTTTGTCTGTACCTCCTCTGTGCGCCTCCTCTGTACCTCCTCTGTGCGTCTTCTGTGCACCTCCTCTGCGTCTTTGTCTGTACCTCCTCTGTGCGCCTCCTCTGTACCTCCTCTGTGCGTCTTCTGTGCACCTCCTCTGCGTCTTTGTCTGTACCTCCTCTGTGCGCCTCCTCTGTACCTCCTCTGTGCGTCTTCTGTGCACCTCCTCTGCGTCTTTGTCTGTACCTCCTCTGTGCGCCTCCTCTGTACCTCCTCTGTGCGTCTTCTGTGCACCTCCTCTGCGTCTTTGTCTGTACCTCTTCTGTGTGCCTCCTCTGTACCTCCTCTGTGCCTTTTCTGTACCTCCTCTGTGCACCTCCTCTGTGTGCCTCCTCTGCACCTCCTCTGCGCCTCCGCTGTGCTCCTTTTTGGATCTTCTCCTTCTTTGGAAGGATCTATGCATCCAGAACAGGTTTGCTTTAATCTTACAGAAGAGTTAGAGCTTCTCAGCAAGAAGGTTCTGAGTTCGAATCCCGGTCGGAACTGGGCTTTTCTGAGTAGAGTGGAGAGGGCAGCGTTCTGACCAATCAGTTCAGGGGCTGCTCTATGGTGCTGCTCTATGGAGCTGCTCTATGGTGCTGCTCTATGGTGCTGCTCTATGGAGCTGCTCTATGGTGCTGCTCTATGGTGCTGCTCTATGGTGCTGCTCTATGGTGCTGCTCTATGGTGCTGCTCTATGGAGCTGCTCTATGGTGCTGCTCTATGGTGCTGCTCTATGGGGCTGCTCTATGGTGCTGCTCTATGGAGCTGCTCTATGGGGCTGCTCTATGGGGCTGCTCTATGGTGCTGCTCTATGGGGCTGCTCTATGGTGCTGCTCTATGGGGCTGCTCTATGGGGCTGCTCTATGAGGCTGCTTTGATGCTGCTTTATGGTGCTGCTCTATGGTGCTGCTCTATGATTCTGCTCTATGGAGCTGCTCTATGGGGCTGCTCTATGGGGCTGCTCTATGGTGCTGCTCTATGATGCTGCTCTATGATGCTGCTCTATGATGCTGCTCTATAGGGCTGCTCTATGGTGCTGCTCTATGATGCTGCTCTATGGGGCTGCTCTATGGTGCTGCTCTATGGTGCTGCTCTATGGAGCTGCTCTATGGGGCTGCTCTATGGTGCTGCTCTATGGTGCTGCTCTATGATGCTGCTCTATGGAGCTGCTCTATGGGGCTGCTCTATGGTGCTGCTCTATGGAGCTGCTCTATGGGGCTGCTCTATGGTGCTGCTCTATGATGCTGCTCTATGATGCTGCTCTATGATGCTGCTCTAAGGGGGCTGCTCTATGGTGCTGCTCTATGGTGCTGCTCTATGATGCTGCTCTATGGAGCTGCTCTATGGTGCTGCTCTATGGTGCTGCTCTATGATGCTGCTCTATGGAGCTGCTCTATGGGGCTGCTCTATGGTGCTGCTCTATGGAGCTGCTCTATGGGGCTGCTCTATGGGGCTGCTCTATGCTGCTGCTCTATGATGCTGCTCTATGGTGCTGCTCTATGGAGCTGCTCTATGATGTAAGTAAGTAAGTAAGTTTTTATTTATATACCGCCTTTTCACTGCAGATTTGAGTCTCAAAGCGGTTTACAATTGTTAATTTTGGGCATTTGTCTCTCACTCCACACAGAGATGGGAGCGGGGCCAGTACAGGAGGCACATGCCAGAACTATTGGACATATTTTTAGTGGTAGGGGAAACCGGAGTACCCGGAGGAAACCTACGCAGACACGGGGAAAACATGCAAACTCCACTCAGAAAGACCCTGGTCCGACCGGGATTCGAACCCAGGACCTTCTTGCTGAGAGGCGAGAGTGCTATCCACTCAGCCACCGTGCCGCCCCCATGTATGATGCTGCTCTATGGTGCTGCTCTATGGTACTGCTTTGATGCTGCTCTATGGTGCTGCTTTGATGCTGCTCTATGATGCTGCTCTATGGAGCTGCTCTATTATGCTGCTCTATGATGCTGCTCTTTGGAGCTGCTCTATGGGGCTGCGCTATGGGGCTGCTCTATGGGGCTGCTCTATGATGCTGCTCTATGATGCTGCTCTATGGAGCTGCTCTATGGGGCTGCTCTATGATGCTGCTCTATGGGGCTGCTCTATGAGGCTGCTTTGATGCTGCTCTATGGTGCTGCTCTATGGTGCTGCGCTATGGAGCTGCTCTATGATGCTGCTCTATGATGCTGCTCTATGATGCTGCTCTATGGTGCTGCTCTATGGTGCTGCTCTATGGTGCTGCTCTATGGAGCTGCTCTATGATGCTGCTCTATGGTGCTGCTCTATGATGCTGCTCTATGATGCTGCTTTGATGCTGCTCTATGGTGCTGCTTTGATGCTGCTCTATGATTCTGCTCTATGGCGCTGCTTTGATGCTGCTCTATGATGCTGCTCTATGGTGCTGCTCTATGATGCTGCTCTATGGAGCTGCTTTGATGCTGCTCTATGGTGCTGCTTTGATGCTGCTCTATGATGCTGCTCTATGGAGCTGCTCTATTATGCTGCTCTATGATGCTGCTCTTTGGAGCTGCTCTATGGGGCTGCTCTATGGGGCTGCTCTATGATGCTGCTCTATGATGCTGCTCTATGGAGCTGCTCTATGGGGCTGCTCTATGATGCTGCTCTATGGGGCTGCTCTATGAGGCTGCTTTGATGCTGCTCTATGGTGCTGCTCTATGGTGCTGCGCTATGGAGCTGCTCTATGATGCTGCTCTATGATGCTGCTCTATGATGCTGCTCTATGGTGCTGCTCTATGGTGCTGCTCTATGGTGCTGCTCTATGGAGCTGCTCTATGATGCTGCTCTATGGTGCTGCTCTATGATGCTGCTCTATGATGCTGCTTTGATGCTGCTCTATGGTGCTGCTTTGATGCTGCTCTATGATTCTGCTCTATGGCGCTGCTTTGATGCTGCTCTATGATGCTGCTCTATGGTGCTGCTCTATGATGCTGCTCTATGGAGCTGCTTTGATGCTGCTCTATGGAGCTGCTCTATGATGCTGCTCTATGATGCTGCTCTATGGAGCTGCTTTGATGCTGCTCTATGGTGCTGCTCTATGGAGCTGCTCTATGATGCTGCTCTATGGTGCTGCTCTATGATGCTGCTCTATGGTGCTGCTCTATGATGCTGCTCTATGCCCCCCCATTCTGACGACACTAACCCCAACAGAGGAAACACAGTTCACCTGCTGCTGCCTTTGCTTCATGCAATGTGTGTCCGTGTGTGTGTGTGTGTGTATATGTGTGTCCGTGTGTGTGTGTGTGTATATGTGTGTGTATGTGTGTGTGTGTGTATATGTGTGTATGTTTGTGTGTGTATATGTGTGTATATGTGTGTGTGTGTGTATATGTGTGTATATGTGTGTACATGTGTGTGTGTATATGTGTGTGCGTGTGTGTGTGTGTGTACATGTGTGTATATGTGTGTGTATGTGTGTGTGTGTACAAATGTGTGTGTGAGTGTGTGTGTGTGTATGTGTGTGCGTGTGTGTGTGTACATGTGTGTGTATGTGTGTGTATGTGTGTGTGTGTGTACATGTGTGTATATGTGTGTGTGCGTGTGTGTGTGTACATGTGTGTACATGTGTGTATATGTGCGTGTGTGTGTGTACATGTGTGTATATGTTTGTGTATGTGTGTGTGTGTGTGTGTGCGTGTGTGTGTGTATATGTGTGTATGTGTGTGTGCGTGTATGTGTGTGTGTACATGTGTGTATATGTGTGTGTGTACATGTGTGTACATGTGTGTACATGTGTGTATATGTGTGTACATGTGTGTACATGTGTGTACATGTGTGTACATGTGTGTACATGTGTGTACATGTGTGTATATGTGTGTACATGTGTGTACATGTGTGTACATGTGTGTACATGTGTGTACATGTGTGTACATGTGTGTATATGTGTGTATATGTGTGTACATGTGTGTACATGTGTGTATATGTGTGTATATGTGTGTATATGTGTGTACATGTGTGTACATGTGTGTACATGTGTGTACATGTGTGTATATGTGTGTACATGTGTGTACATGTGTGTATATGTGTGTACATGTGTGTACATGTGTGTACATGTGTGTACATGTGTGTACATGTGTGTATATGTGTGTACATGTGTGTATATGTGTGTACATGTGTGTACATGTGTGTATATGTGTGTATATGTGTGTACATGTGTGTACATGTGTGTACATGTGTGTACATGTGTGTATATGTGTGCTCTTCCATCGCTGCTCATTGTGATCATGGTTCTTCCTGTTTTTTTGTGTTGACAGTGAACGCCACGCACCAACTCCACTGCTCTGGCTCTGTGTGTCTCCTACCTCCTAACTCCTCTCTCCTACCTCCTGTCTCCTACCTCCTAACTCCTGTCTCCTACCTCCTAACTCCTGTCTCCTTCCTCCTAGCTGCTGTCTCCATGCATCTGTGTGTCTCCAAAATCCAATCTCCTCTGTCCTAGCTCCTCCTTCCTAGCTCCTCTGTCCTAGCTCCTCTGCCCTAGCTCCTCTGTCCTAGCTCCTCTGTCCTAGCTCCTCTGCCCTCCACGAGGTGCTGCTTACTCTGTGTGTGTCCGTATCCTCTGCACATGTTTCTGTTCAGAGAAATGGGATTTGGTTCAAAGACAATGTGTTTTTCAAGAACCTTTGATCTGAGAAAATCATCAGCCTCGAACCACCACAAACTGTGCTCTGGGTTTAAGACCACAGAGAAGGCCCTGTGCTCTGGGTTTAAGACCACAGAGAAGGCCCTGTGCTCTGGGTTTAAGACCACAGAGAAGGCCCTGTGCTCTGGGTTTCAGACCACAGAGATCATTGAGTATCACTGGTACAAAGCCCTCAGTCTGACTCTGTGTGTGTGACATATGGAACAATAGCGATGTCAGTGCGGCTGAATTAAAGAGTTTAAAATAGAAAAGCAGGCGGAAAATCTGACACAAAACCAACCAATCAGAGTCTGAGCAGAGAATGGGACAAGATGAAAGTCTTTATCAAAGTGAAAGTAAAATGACGAGAACAAAGAATTCTAAACACTACATGTCAGGACTGTCAGAGTCTGGTCACAAAGATCACAGCCTCCTTCAGAAGGACCTGTCTCGCCCTAAACCACAGCCTCCTTCAGAAGGACCTGTCTCACCCTAAACCACAGCCTCCTTCAGAAGGACCTGTCTCACCCTAAACCACAGCCGCCTTCAGAAGGACCTGTCTCGCCCTAAACCACAGCCTCCTTCAGAAGGACCTGTCTCGCCCTAAACCACAGCCTCCTTCAGAAGGACCTGTCTCGCCCTAAACCACAGCCTCCTTCAGAAGGACCTGTCTCGCCCTAAACCACAGCCTCCTTCAGAAGGACCTGTCTCGCCCTAAACCACAGCCTCCTTCAGAAGGACCTGTCTCGCCCTAAACCACAGCCTCCTTCAGAAGGACCTGTCTCGCCCTAAACCACAGCCTCCTTCAGAAGGACCTGTCTCACCCTAAACCACAGCCTCCTTCAGAAGGACCTGTCTCGCCCTAAACCACAGCCTCCTTCAGAAGGACCTGTCTCACCCTAAACCACAGCCTCCTTCAGAAGGACCTGTCTCGCCCTAAACCACAGCCTCCTTCAGAAGGACCTGTCTCGCCCTAAACCACAGCCTCCTTCAGAAGGACCTGTGTCGCCCTAAACCACAGCCTCCTTCAGAAGGACCTGTCTCACCCTAAACCACAGCCTCCTTCAGAAGGACCTGTCTCACCCTAAACCACAGCCTCCTTCAGAAGGACCTGTCTCACCCTAAACCACAGCCTCCTTCAGAAGGATCTGTCTCATCCTAAACCACAGCCTCCTTCAGAAGGACCTGTCTCGCCCTAAACCACAGCCTCCTTCAGAAGGACCTGTCTCACCCTAAACCACAGCCTCCTTCAGAAGTACCTGTCTCGCCCTAAACCACAGCCTCCTTCAGAAGGACCTGTCTCGCCCTAAACTACAGCCTCCTTCAGAAGGACCTGTCTCGCCCTAAACCACAGCCTCCTTCAGAAGGACCTGTCTCGCCCTAAACCACAGCCTCCTTCAGAAGGACCTGTCTCGCCCTAAACCACAGCCTCCTTCAGAAGGACCTGTCTCGCCCTAAACCACAGCCTCCTTCAGAAGGACCTGTCTCGCCCTAAACCACAGCCTCCTTCAGAAGGACCTGTCTCGCCCCAAACCACAGCCTCCTTCAGAAGGACCTGTCTCGCCCTAAACCACAGCCTCCTTCAGAAGGACCTGTCTCGCCCTAAACCACAGCCTCCTTCAGAAGGACCTGTCTCACCCTAAACCACAGCCTCCTTCAGAAGGACCTGTCTTGCCCTAAACCACAGCCTCCTTCAGAAGGACCTGTCTCGCCCTAAACCACAGCCTCCTTCAGAAGGACCTGTCTCGCCCTAAACCACAGCCTCCTTCAGAAGGACCTGTCTCGCCCTAAACCACAGCCTCCTTCAGAAGGACCTGTCTCGCCCTAAACCACAGCCTCCTTCAGAAGGACCTGTCTCGCCCTAAACCACAGCCTCCTTCAGAAGGACCTGTCTCGCCCTAAACCACAGCCTCCTTCAGAAGGACCTGTCTCGCCCTAAACCACAGCCTCCTTCAGAAGGACCTGTCTCACCCTAAACCACAGCCTCCTTCAGAAGGACCTGTCTCGCCCTAAACCACAGCCTCCTTCAGAAGGACCTGTCTCACCCTAAACCACAGCCTCCTTCAGAAGGACCTGTCTCGCCCTAAACCACAGCCTCCTTCAGAAGGACCTGTCTCGCCCTAAACCACAGCCTCCTTCAGAAGGACCTGTCTCGCCCCAAACCACAGCCTCCTTCAGAAGGACCTGTCTCGCCCTAAACCACAGCCTCCTTCAGAAGGACCTGTCTCGCCCTAAACCACAGCCTCCTTCAGAAGGACCTGTCTCGCCCTAAACCACAGCCGCCTTCAGAAGGACCTGTCTCGCCCTAAACCACAGCCTCCTTCAGAAGGACCTGTGTCGCCCTAAACCACAGCCTCCTTCAGAAGGACCTGTCTCTGTAAAAGTTCTCTCTCACAGTTAATATTAGAAGTTAAAGAGTTGGTGGAAAATTTTTATCACAGACTGTTCCAAAAACGTCTGATTTGAGACGTTTTTAAGAACTGTAGCCTCCAGACTCTTCTCTGGTGTTCAGGGCCTTTGGGAATGCTCCTGCTGCAGGAGGAGCTCGGACTAGATCCTTTGTTTCTCCTGCTGCAGGAGGAGGAGCTCGGACTAGATCCTTTGTTTCTCCTGCTGCAGGAGGAGCTCGGACTAGATTCTTTGTTTCTCCTGCTGCAGGAGGAGATCGGACTAGATCCTTTGTTTCTCCTGCTGCAGGAGGAGCTCGGACTAGATCCTTTGTTTCTCCTGCTGCAGGAGGAGCTCGGACTAGATCCTTTGTTTCTCCTGCTGCAGGAGGAGCTCGGACTAGATCCTTTGTTTCTCCTGCTGCAGGAGGAGCTCAGACTAGATCCTTTGTTTCTCCTGCTGCAGGAGGAGGAGCTCGGACTTTAGGACTCTGCTCCTGCCTCAGTCCTCGTGTTGTGTGACATCACAGAGGTGTTGCACATACATTACTTACAATCGCAGGTGTTCGCAGCTGGGAATTTTCAAATGTACTAAAACCTAAACCCTCCTGCTCCCTCTGGTGGCAGCACAGAGAGCTACACCTGATTTCTACTTAAGTTATTTCAGTTTCTAAAACAACAAAGAGCAGAGAGTTGGACACACACAGAGCTGTGTCTTCTCTGTTCCTCACCTCTCCCCCCTCTCCCCCCTCTCTCCCTCCCCCTCTCCAGGAGCGCCGCCTGCCTCCCCCGGTCCCCAAAAAGCCGTCCAAAGGGCAGCACCCGCCCTTGGCCCGTGACCGTTCCCTGGAGAGCTCCGACCGCCAGCGCCATGACGCCCGTAAACGACTCCTCGCCGCCAAGAGAGCGGCGTCTGTGCGGCAGAACTCAGCCACGGAGAGTGCGGACAGCATCGAGATCTACATCCCAGAGGCCCAGACCAGACTGTAGGGGGCGCCAGACTCACACACAGCACCAGGAGCACCAGGCAGGAGGCGCACGGCAGGAGGCGCAGCAGGAGGCGCAGCAGGAGGCGCAGCAGGAGCAGCAGGAGCAGCAGGAGCCACTGATTGCACTGCTGCAGGACGCTCTTCTGTCGTCACTAACAGCTGTGTTTGTGCCGAAGGAGAAAAGGCCAGATCCAACAGACTCAGACTCAGTTCTTTCTCTGTTTTGGTCCTAAATCACAGTTTTCTCGGCGTTAAAATGGGGTAATAGTACTTACTTAGTTACTTATACTTAGTTCCTTCCCCAGTCACAGTGTGGACCTCAGTCTCACTCTGCAGAATGTTCTTCTGGAGAGAGTAGTTTGTGGCAGACCTGGAGTTGTGTTTAGCCTCCTCCACTCTGCTCTCTGGTCGTCTTCAGGCTTCTTCACATTCACCTGAAAAGAATTTGCTGTGATTGCAAAAGTATAATCACCTTTATATTTTACTTAAAATCTCTCAGATCCAGCGCCACGTTCACAGCCTAAAAAGCACGACTCTAACTTCTGATTTTAACTTTTCAAAAAAATACTTGAATTAAATAGAGTAATGTTGATCCCAGAGTGTTAGCTCCTGTTTTCTGAGCTGCTGTCACAGATCTTGGTCTGAGTCTGGCCTGGTCTCTCTGAGTCTGGCCTGGTCTCTCTGAGTCTGGCCTGGTCTCTCTGAGTCTTGTCTGGTCTCTCTGAGTCTGGCCTGGTCTCTCTGATGGCGTCTCCGACTCACGCTGCGTTTAAGCTCCGCCCTCTGCAGCTGCAGGAGCGACTCAGAGGAATGTGCCGTAATTCTCAGTCGTAATTTACACATGTGTCAGAGTCATACACACATTTACACATGTGTCAGAGTCATACACGCATTTACACATGTGTCAGGGTCATACACACATTTACACATGTGTCAGAGTCATACACACATTTACACATGTGTCAGAGTCATACACACATTTACACATGTGTCAGAGTCATACACACATTTACACATGTGTCAGGGTCATACACACATTTACACATGTGTCAGGGTCATACACACATTTACACATGTGTCAGAGTCATACACACATTTACACATGTGTCAGGGTCATAAACACATTTACACATGTGTCAGAGTCATACACACATTTACACATGTGTCAGGGTCATACACACATTTACACATGTGTCAGAGTCATACACACATTTACACATGTGTCAGGGTCATACACACATTTACACATGTGTCAGAGTCATACACACAGTTACACATGTGTCAGAGTCATACACACATTTACACATGTGTCAGGGTGATAAACACATTTACACATGTGTCAGGGTCATACACACATTTACACATGTGTCAGAGTCATACACACATTTACACATGTGTCAGGGTCATACACACATTTACACATGTGTCAGAGTCATACACACATTTACACATGTGTCAGAGTCATACACACATTTACACATGTGTCAGGGTCATAAACACATTTACACATGTGTCAGAGTCATACACACATTTACACATGTGTCAGGGTCATAAACACATTTACACATGTGTCAGAGTCAAAAACACATGTACACATGTGTCAGGGTCATACACACATTTACACATGTGTCGGAGTCAAAAACACATTTACACATGTGTCAGAGTCATACACACATGTACACATGTGTCAGGGTCATACACACATTTACACATGTGTCAGAGTCATACACACATTTACACATGTGTCCGAGTCATACACACATTTACACATGTGTTAGAGTCATACACACATTTACACATGTGTCCGAGTCATACACACATTTACACATGTGTTAGAGTCATACACACATTTACACATGTGTCAGGGTCATAAACACATTTACACATGTGTCAGGGTCATACACACATTTAAACATGTGTCAGGGTCATAAACACATTTACACATGTGTCAGGTTCATACACACATTTACACATGTGTCAGGGTCATACACATTTACACATGTGTCAGGATCATACACACATTTACACATGTGTCAGGGTCATACACACATTTAGACATGTGTCAGAGTCATACACACATTTACACATGTGTCAGAGTCATACACACATTTACACATGTGTCAGGGTCATACACACATTTACACATGTGTCAGAGTCAAAAACACATTTACACATGTGTCAGGGTCATACACACATTTACACATGTGTCAGAGTCATACACACATTTACACATGTGTCAGGGTCATACACACATTTACACATGTGTCAGGGTCATACACACATTTACACATGTGTCAGAGTCATACACACATTTACACATGTGTCAGAGTCATACACAAATTTACACATGTGTCAGGGTCATACACACATTTACACATGTGTCAGGGTCATACACACATTTACACATGTGTCAGGGTCATACACACATTTACACATGTGTCAGAGTCATACACACATTTACACATGTGTCAGGGTCATAAACACATTTACACATGTGTCAGAGTCATACACACATTTGCACATGTGTCAGGGTCATACACACATTTACACATGTGTCAGAGTCAAAAACACATTTACACATGTGTCAGGGTCATACACACATTTACACATGTGTCAGAGTCATACACACATTTACACATGTGTCAGGGTCATACACACATTTACACATGTGTCAGAGTCAAGAACACATTTCCACATGTGTCAGGCTCATACACACATTTACACATGTGTCAGAGTCATACACACATTTACACATGTGTCAGAGTCATACACACATTTACACATGTGTCAGGGTCATACACACATTTACACATGTGTCAGGGTCATACACACATTTACACATGTGTCAGGGTCATACACACATTTACACATGTGTCAGAGTCATACACACATTTACACATGTGTCAGGGTCATAAACACATTTACACATGTGTCAGAGTCATACACACATTTGCACATGTGTCAGGGTCATACACACATTTACACATGTGTCGGAGTCAAAAACACATTTACACATGTGTCAGAGTCATACACACATTTACACATGTGTCAGGTTCATACACACATTTACACATGTGTCAGGGTCATACACACATTTACACATGTGTCAGGTTCATACACACATTTACACATGTGTCAGAGTCATACACACATTTACACATGTGTCCGAGTCATACACACATTTACACATGTGTCAGAGTCATACACACATTTACACATGTGTCAGGGTCATAAACACATTTACACATGTGTCAGGGTCATACACACATTTAAACATGTGACAGGGTCATAAACACATTTACACATGTGTCAGGTTCATACACACATTTACACATGTGTCAGGGTCATACACACATTTACACATGTGTCAGGATCATACACACATTTACACATGTGTCAGGGTCATACACACATTTACACATGTGTCAGAGTCATACACACATTTACACATGTGTCAGAGTCATACACACATTTACACATGTGTCAGGGTCATACACACATTTACACATGTGTCAGAGTCAAAAACACATTTACACATGTGTCAGGGTCATACACACATTTACACATGTGTCAGAGTCAAAAACACATTTACACATGTGTCAGAGTCATACACACATTTACACATGTGTCAGGGTCATACACACATTTACACATGTGTCAGGGTCATACACACATTTACACATGTGTCAGGTTCATACACACATTTACACATGTGTCAGAGTCATACACACATTTACACATGTGTCAGGGTCATACACACATTTACACATGTGTCAGAGTCATACACACATTTACACATGTGTCAGGGTCATACACACATTTACACATGTGTCACGGTCATACACACATTTACACATGTGTCAGAGTCATACACACATTTACACATGTGTCAGGGTCATACACACATTTACACATGTGTCAGGGTCATACACACATTTACACATGTGTCAGGGTGATAAACACATTTACACATGTGTCAGAGTCATACACACATTTACACATGTGTCACGGTCATACACACATTTACACATGTGTCAGGGTCATACACACATTTGTCAGAGTCATACACACATTTACACATGTGTGACATCATGTGTGACATCATGTTTGACGTCATGTGTGACATCATGTGTGACATCATGTTTAACGTCATGTGTGACATGTGTGACGTCATGTGTGACATGTGTGACGTCATGTGTGACGTCATGTGTGATGTCATGTGTGACGTCATGTGTGACATCATATGTGACGTCATGTGGTTCATACACACATTTACACATGTGTCAGGGTCATACACACATTTACACATGTGTCAGAGTCATACACACATTTACACATGTGTCAGGGTCATACACACATTTACACATGTGTCAGAGTCATACACACATTTACACATGTGTCAGGGTCATACACACATTTACACAGGTGTCAGAATCATACACACATTTACACATGTGTCAGGGTCATACACACATTTACACATGTGTCAGAGTCATACACACATTTAAACATGTGTCAGGGTCATAAACACATTTACACATGTGTCAGGTTCATACACACATTTACACATGTGTCAGGGTCATACACACATTTACACATGTGTCAGGATCATACACACATTTACACATGTGTCAGGGTCATACACACATTTACACATGTGTCAGGGTCATACACACATTTACACATGTGTCAGGATCATACACACATTTACACATGTGTCAGGGTCATACACACATTTACACATGTGTCAGAGTCATACACACATTTACACATGTGTCAGAGTCATACACACATTTACACATGTGTCAGGGTCATACACACATTTACACATGTGTCAGAGTCATACACACATTTACACATGTGTCAGGGTCATACACACATTTACACATGTGTCACGGTCATACACACATTTACACATGTGTCAGAGTCATACACACATTTACACATGTGTCACGGTCATACACACATTTACACATGTGTCAGAGTCATACACACATTTACACATGTGTCAGGGTCATAAACACATTTACACATGTGTCAGAGTCATACACACATTTACCACATGTGTCAGGGTCATAAACACATTTACACATGTGTCAGAGTCATACACACATTTACACATGTGTCAGGGTCATACACACATTTACACATGTGTCAGAGTCAAAAACACATTTACACATGTGTCAGGCTCATAAACACATTTACACATGTGTCAGAGTCATACACACATTTA